ATATATATATATATATATATATATATAAAAACAAAACACCAATAGGATTCACCTGTGGACATATATATATATATATATACTTATCTTCTTTGTCCTTAGATTGGTAATCTTGATGTAAAATTTTAAAATAAAATTAAGTGAATTAAAATTGTGTTTAAAAATATCTATTTCATAAGCAAGAAATAGGATACATTTATATTCTAAAAGTTTGGCACAATTTATAATGAAAACAGGAATCATAACAAGTGTTTGAGTTCTAAAGGCAAAAAAAACTTATAAGTGATATGATTTTTTTAAATAAAATATTTTTAAGTTTATGCTGTACTTGGTAATTTTCCAGTTATCATACACATGATGTTCTAGAAATAATGAATAAAGTGTAAATAGCTTAATTTTATTTTTCTAAATACATTTTTTGTACCTCCTCAGCATTTTCCTGGTCAACTGCTAACTTTGCCGTAAGAGCCTCAGTGTTTGCCGATTTCTCTTTCAACTTTTGTTCTAAAGTAGCCAGCTCCATCTCCAACTTAGCAACAAGTGTATTAGTTTCTATCAGTTTTGTTAAGCCATTTTTAACCCTGTCTCGATCCTAAGAAATATAAAACAAAGTTTTCATAAGTTTGTTAAAAAAAAAATATTCAAGAATGCAAAGAAACAACATTATAGATTCTAAATTTTTACCAATTACATTTTAATCAGGGCAATTAACTATAAGACCTTAAACTGAAACGTCATGGAACAAATGTCATTCCACAAACATATCTTTTTTTTTTAGTTATTATGAATTGTACATGCAAATAATACTAGTTCTATGGTATAAAATAAGTTTTAAATCATTTTTTAAACATATAAAATATACTTCTCTTTATTCTAATATAAGGTGTATTTGAATGTGTCAATATATGGTTTTCCTTTACCTGTACAAGTTGCTTCCTTTTGATCTCCAACATGGACAGATACAAGTTAATAAGTTCCAGGTAGTTTGAAGGGGTAGTATGATAGTGGCGACCTAACTCTTTGAAGAATCTAGTGGCCATAATGCCAACACTCTGATGTATAATCACACATGCTCGTGCAATTTTCTTTTTGACTGCATCATCAGTTCCTAAATCTACACTGGCCAGAGAAGTTACAGCTACAGAAAGGAGAGCCTCTGGTGGCCATTCAGTAAACCAGTTCATTGTGCAGCAGTTCAAAAGCGATGGGAACATACGACATCGGTTGTGAAAAGCACTACCAACAGGACTCATGCACAGCACAATGTGAAGGTTCCTCCTGACTCTTGAGATGAAAAAGTCATAAGTACTGTCTTTATCACCTTCAGATATTCCTGCTTCTTTAGCAGCAGGTCTTGTAGAAATAATGATTTTTTCAAATTCATCTGTAGAGAAAAGGTTGGGAACCTCTCCAGAGTTTAGAATGTTGATTATATCTTCTAAAAATTCCTCCTTTACAATCTGTGTGTCAGTGAAAAGGAACACTGTGTTTTCATTTTTAATGCCTGTTGCTTCATACAATTTTTTTAAATCTTCCTGGAAAGCAGCATAGTCATAACCTCGAGACAATTCTATTTGGAAACAATTGTAGCCACACATATGGCTAGCCAGTCTACATGAAAAGAAAAAACAACTTGTGTTAAAGCATTGTGATTTAAGTCAATAATTCTATATACCGATCATTGTTATCCCTTAATGTTAGTTTTCATTTCAAATTTGTTTTAGTTGTATTTTAATTTAACTCACTCTTTTCAACACAAAGACATGTAAGGTAATTGTAAAATGCATAACACATAGTACTTAGTTGTGTTCATCTTCTCTTATTTTCACATTAACATTCCATCAAACCAAATCTTTGAACCCCTTGTTATGTGGGGGGTAATTTACCTGTGTGACATTATTTCTCAAAACGAAGTCTCCTATCAAAGATTTCCATTAATAAAAACAAAGTTATAACTGTACCAGATTCATAAATTAGTGGCAAAACTACACATATCTATCTATCTATATGGATAATCAAACAACTGATAAAACTGTTAAATGATAAAGATTCTAGAACATTTAATAGTGTAAAGTTACACCCTGCTCATATAAGTTAATCAAAAGTTCTGATCTGTCAGATTCTGTTGCCAATACAACTGAGGATCAAAGATCATTTTGCCGTATGAGGTACGTACAAATTTTGCATCTGATAATTTTGTTGTCAAAACACTGTGCACAGTGTACAAAAAATGATTTTTAGATGTTTTAAATTGCAAAATACTAACAAGTGATATGAATGGAGCTCACAAAAACGTCTTTTGAAGTAGCTTGTAACCATTTCCTAAGCTCAAGACACAGTTTGAAATGCCATAAATAATGAAATTGACCTTGTAAAATAAGGAGAAAGTTAGTGATAATTTTAAAACCAATTTTAAGACATTAGCATACACTACATAATTTTGTTTTATCCTTTTTAATTTTACATGACTTATTAACCTCTTTATCCTATTTAACATATTAAGTAACAATCCAATAACTAGTCTTCATATTCAGGTTTGTAATGTATGGAGGTGAACTTCACCTCCAGACTCTTTCATAGCCCATGACATTGTAACCAGGCATTAATTGTCATTGCTAAACCAGCCACCCCCCAGTGGCACAGTGGTATGTCTGCAAACTTACAATGCTAGAAACTGAGTTTCAATACCCGTGGAGAGCAGAGCACAGATAGCCCATTGTGTAGCTTTGTGCATAAATTCAAACAAACTAAACCAGCCTTATACTTAGACACCTACTCACCACCAGGACATCAAGTTTCACTCCAGCATATGGTCTTTCTCAGTTGCATAACAAAGTACTATTATGAAATCTGTGGCTCAACAACAACCACAAAAAAATATACATATCTCAAAACAAAAAATTCAATAAAAAAATGCCCAAGATGAAGTTTTTTAAAAGACATTATGTAGCTTTCAAATCAACAAAATTAAATAGGCAATATTTTATTATCAGTGTTTAATGTATAAAAAACAAACTAATTTGCCAACAATTATGCAATGTGAAAACAAAAATTCAAAAATGCTCCTTTATATTTCTCAGTTATATATGACTTACTTTGTTAAACTCTGCTTTCCACAGCCACCTACACCCACCAGTAAGGCATTTCCCCTCTCCTGGCGAATAATTCGAGCAATCCGAGAAACATGTTGTATTGCATCAAGGAAGAACACTAGCTTCATCTCCTTAGAGGCTGACAAATTGTAATCTTCAAGATACTGTATAAATAATAGTCAAATCAAAATAACTCTGAAAATTGCTGCCATTAAAAAGTATTGTTTTCAAGGAAAACTTGGTTACAAATTTATTTCATGCACTTTGTCTTCTAGTGTCAAAATCAAAAACCTTTCAAAAAGCCAATACACAATTTTATCTATCCTTTGTCAAAATACGAAATGAATATATTGAAAAATGTATGTGATGACTCGTGGCTGTGGCATTATTCCCCAAAATGCAAATGTTCCTGCATAATATTCTATCAATTTTACGCACCACTAAAAAAAGGAGCAAGAAGTGTTAATACAAGACATTCTTCGAACTTATAAGTAAGTATTTATGTAAAATAATCCTTCAATGAACTGTCTGTGTTAATTCTCATATCAAATGCAAGTAACAGGAATTATAATCAATAATACTTTTTTATCAACTGTAATATATAAATGGAGTAAAACACAATAAAATTATGACTGAAAGCAGAAAAACGTGAAAAAATAGATCTGAACCACCTTACAAGTACCCATGACTTTGCCCTCTATAAGGTTAAATTTTACTAAATATTGTATCAGTTAAAAAAAGTTATGATGATCTAATAACCACAAATAATGTAATGTGCTGCCACAATATACAAATAAAAATTATTTTATATAAAACATGCATCTATGAAACTGATAACAAAAATGTCCAAAACACCAATAACAATAAAAAATTAAAACCATAGTTCTTTATATATATATATTTCTATGTTTACAATATCATTATTTAATCTTAAATATTGTGAAATAAAGAGGTTTTAGATTAGGGTTATGTCTATTTAACTTTATGTTGTTTTTTAAATGTTTAATCTACAAACCATTTCAGAATTATCTGCTTATAAGCTAGAGCTGTATTTTTGGGATAACACAGAACACTGAAGCTACAAACTGTTCTATTTGCAGATTTTACTAACCATGAAAGGAACTCCAACTCAACACAAACACACAGTTAATACTTATATTCTGGCTTAACATTATACTACACAAACTGTTATACAAAACTGCATTTACTTAAAACTGCCCACTGATGACTCAGTGATAAGCTTAAAAGTTTCTAATGCTAAAATTCAGGGCTTGATCTCTGCGGTGAGTACAGCTTTAAAAATAATAACTTAAATTCATTGTACTTTAAATGAAAAATTCCAAAACGTTGTACTAAGGGTCAACCATTCTAAACAAAGGTGATTCAGAAGTAAAAATGGTTATATGACAATTGTACCTGACTTAGTACAAACTTCACTCTTTCCATGTCAGTTAGTTGTTCATAGTACCTGTCAGCCATGTGAACACCAACTTTTATAAAATCTCCAAATATTATTGGTTCATTTACAAGGGATGCAGCATCCAGCTGTATTGAAAAGTGACTAGATGATATTTCAGTTAGAATAGTGTTGAAGCACATCTTATCATTTTCATCAACAAGGCGATCATGAAATGTTCGCTGACATTCATGGCAGAAGAGATTAAACACTTGTTGTCCTCTTTTTATAACTGTAGAATCAATTTGCAATATTCCCTAAAATATCAAATTAAATGCCTATTAAGCAGTACACCAATAGTTAACACATAAAATATTAAATAAAAGTCAAGAACTGGGCTATAAGTTTTACTTTAGTCCTCGCTATACATTTTTAAGATTTAAAGAACACACAGACACATACACACATATAGATATATTACTTTCTGAATTATATAGACTGTATTGAATCATTTTGCCACACAGTAGAACTTAACAAGCGTGTATTTACTTATAATATGTATTAGATAAAAGTTGTATATATAGAAACACATATCATATATACACACACATACCATAATTACACCAAAAAATACTATGTGAAAGCCACATATATAGCAAAATGAAAAAATTAATTACCAGTCATAACTCTTGTACTATGAAAAGCTATGGTTGCTATAATATGTACATATATATCATACTGTTTCAACTACTGTTTGAACAACATAAGATTTGTTATTATAAAGAGATATTTTCCTTAAAATGTATTGAAATATCTATAAAACTTATTGTAATTTAACACCCTGAAATTCTAAGGGCAGCACACTGTTCTCTGAAGTTAGAATTTCTCAGGAAAAGTAAAAATTGAAACAGGGCATGCTTCAAAGCCACAGTTCTGCTTATTACATGAGCAGATGCTCTTTAGCAACATAAGTTTCTGCTGTAAGGCTCAGTATTAATTTGATAGACTGTAAAAGAGAAGATTATGTGGGATTCTTGAGTTATGATAATTGTAAAATAAGTTGCATTTAAAGTGAGGAAAAAAAAAGAACTATTACTCTCCAAATAATAAAAAAACACTTTATTTCAGTCAAAGTTTTGCTATTGTGGCTTCATCAGGGCTAGCAGAAGCACAAAAACTGGGCTAGCAATACAAGAATTGTTTGATGTTAAAATATACATTAAACAGTTTTTGTGCTTCTACTAGCCCTGATGAAATGTTGGTTGAAATAAAAAGTTTTTTATTATCTGTAGAATAAAGGTTGTGTTTTTCTAACTTTATTTTCAAAATACACTGATTTTGTATATTAAATGTAAAATTAGAAATAATAACAATATATTTTTTTATATATATATATACCTGAACAAATTTGGATAGATCTCTGAGATTAAACACATAGTGAGACTTAGCTGGTGTTGGAAGAAAATCAGTACTCATTCTACCATACATTTCAATTGCAGCATCAACAATATTACGTGCAAAGCGATGGACTTCTTCATTAAAGCTTGACAAAAATCCCGATATAATGGTAAAAAAGATGTGTTTCAAACTTTCTTCTTTTGAAGCAGGAATACAAAGAGTGCTGAAATGGCGTATAAAACGTGGAGTTACAGGGTTACAACCACCAACAGGAGGGGCACATGCTGCCGCAAGAGTTACATCCTGATATGATTTAAAAAAGAAAGTTACAACAGATATAAATTGCCATGTTAAAACTTTTCTGTAAGATCAAAAATTTACTGTATGAATTAAAAATGACAGCTTAAGTAAAAAAAAACTTAAATTTATTATTATTTCATAACATTAATTTATGTATATGATTTATAGTTTTTATTACACAAAAGTAGTCACTTGAAGGATAGGTGACACAAAATGGAACATAAATGTTTTTGTTTTCTATCTTACAAAAAACTAATAAAAATTAACTTTACATTTAAATTCATAAGCTGTCACATACACTCAATATGACAAACATCAAGGGTTTACTACCTTAACTGACAGAAATATTTATTAAGTTTTCAAAATGCTGACATTTTCAAACAAGAGGGAATCCTCAATAATGACAGCACTTGAAATTATTTTAGGTAGGATTAGAGTAAATTAATCTATGAGACCTTGTGCATGGTCAAATACATCAATTGCAAGGGTTTGACCTCCTGGGTACAAACTATAATTAGATCTCAAATCAGTCAAGAGATGACAGAACTATGACCTAAAAGTAAGGCCAGAATATTGCTTAAACAGGTCATTGCACATTTGAATGGTCTAAAAGGTTAAAGAGTATTAAAATCCCCTACATTTTTTCCTTTTTATTAGCTTTTTGTGCTTGCAATACCAAGCATGAAGCATGAGAATACCCAATTCAATTTTATTACTCACCAGGATTTCTACCAGCTTACCCTCAAATTGAAATTATTTTAGGCAGGATTAGAGTAAATTAATCCATGAGACCTTGGGCAGGGTCAAATACATCAGTAGAAATGGTTTGATATTCTAAGTCAAAAACTGTAATTATATCTCAAATCGTTCAAGAGATGACAGAGCTATGAGCTCAAAGTTTGTACTTGAAAAGACTCAGAGCCATTATACCATGGAAAATAATATGACCTCTTGTTTTACAAGTGTGGTTAGTCCTCCCTGAACCACTTTAACATCAAAAGAAGTAAGCATAAACAATTATTTCAGGCAACTTTCAAATTTTCTAACTGTCTAAATAACCATCCATTGATGTTGTTGTTGTTTATTAAGCACAAAGCTACACAAAGGGCTATCTGTGCTCTGTCCACCACGGGTATCGAAACCCGGATTCTAGTGTTGTAAGTCCGCAGACATACTGCTGTGCCACTGGCTTCGAAATCATGTGATACTCAACCTCCAAAAATGGACCATGAAATAGGGTAGCTCACAGGAAAACAACCATTCTTTTAGTTTACAAGGTACCCAACAAACAAGCTCACTTTATGCAATAAAAATTTCATGTTACAAATAACTAAGAACACTTGGGACAATACCAGCCTAGTAATCTTGAGCTGCATAAGCATGTTTACAAAGTAACTGATATGACTGATATCTAACAATTTATCTATAATAAACCAAAGTTTGTTACATGTTAAACCTAACAACTAGCTTATTTTTGTAGCTAATAACCATAAAACACATTTCTGTTACAGACAAAAAATTTAATATAGGTAAACAAAATAAAAAAAAACTAATAAGGTGTGGCTTGCAAATAGCTATTTTCATTCAATTCCCTCTTTTTGGCAATCCTTTTATTTTGAATAAAATAGCAAGTAATAATTGGAAAGTTTAATCCTTTATGTTAGCAAGTTCTCCCTTGAGTTAAAACTTTCCAAAATATATTCATTACTTTAAAAGAAACCTTGTCATTTAAAAAGGGGAGAAAAGAAAAAGAAAATACATAACAGACAATGACATAGGTTAATAAAGTAACATCAAATACAAACTATAAAATGTATGGAGTCCAAATAACAAAACTAACAAGGAATACCTGAATTTCTTTCCAAAATAACTTTTTTCTGTCATAAAATCCACCACAATCTTGATATTGCCGAAGAAGTTCAATTGGTGGTTGAGAACCATAAATGTCCAATCGTGGCATATTGAGGTCATCAATGAAAATAATAATATGTTTTCCATAAGGAGCCCCGAGAACATTTTTCCTTCGTTTAATCAGCTTACTCTCCACCATTTCTTGTATTATTTGACTGCTAGTCTGGGCTGAAAGATTAGACTAGCATAAGTAAATGAAATGATTTATTCAAATTTATTGAAATTATTCTACATATTTAATAGATAAATCTTAGATTTAGTGAACAGAATCAGATATTAATATATCTTCTAGAAGATAAAGAATATTTTTTTTATAATGTACAAGACAAAAACTCGTGTTAAATGTAGCTGTTAAATTTAAGCATGTACTATATTATTTTTATTTATTTCTGCAATTTAAAATTACCAATAAGCATTATCTTATCTCTTACCTGTTCAAGCATACTGTAATGTAGTTACAGAAGAGCAAATTTTTATTTAATAAATATTTTATTATTTTAGTAGCAATATTATAAAATTAATTTATACAACTAATTTAGAATTATAATAAAATTATATTTCAACTGTAATATTACTGTGTGCTTCATTACCAAGTTGACATGCAAAGGTTTGGCAATCATGTCAGACATTTTTACTGTAACATGGACCCACTTTTTTGACCAAACAGCTTGGCAAGATTTCTTTATAAGGAAAAGCAAGTTGAAAACCTAGCAACTGATTTGGTCAAGCAAGTATAATCACACAAAATAATATTAATTACAGTTCAAGAACTTAAGCAGAGTTTGAAGATTTAGCCAACAATGAAAAGAAAGCTGTTAATCTCACTTCTTGTATACTATTTAATACTTACAATAAAGAAGGAGAAAGCTGTTAATCTCTTGTATACTATTTAATACTTACAATAAAGAGATAGAACTTTTAATAAGTTGAAGATTTAGCCAACAATGAAAAAACACGAGAAGAAAGCTGTTAATCTCACTTTTTGTATACTATTTAATACTTACAATAAAGAGATAGAACTTTTAATAAGTTTCAAATAACATTCACTAAGTATGTGAAATAAAGAGAAATAGTTTACTTACCTGAAAAAGTGATAAAAACAGGCACATAGCAGCAAGCTGTCTCACTAATATTGTTTAAGGTACTACGAGCAATAACTGATTTTCCAACTCCTGTAGTACCAGTGAACAACACTGGTTGCCTTACATGCAGTAAATGCTCCATGAGGTACCCAAAACGAACTGTATCTACTGTTGGCACAAGCATGTCAAAGAAGGAGATGTCATTTTTATATGTAAATTTTGGTACTACTTTATCCCACTTCTCCATTCGATGATTCAAGAAATTGACATAGTATCTCTGCAGCTCCTCATCAGATGGCAACTGAAAACCAAATAACTTTTTATTCAGAAGCCTAGAAAAACATAGTATATACAAGTTTTGAGACAGCTTTTATCATAAATGTACGATGTTTGACAAAATTTTGTCATCCTCAGGTACAAGTAGTTTACAGAGATACATGAGTATATATATATATATATGCAGGATCGAACAAAGAGGTCATATAGTATGTTTATCACAAGAAAAATATCTAAAATTTAAATTAACCTAGGAATTAATCATTATGTCATTCCACTGAGACAGAGGTTTTCAAACTCCTTTTTGAAGGTGAACAACTCAAAATCTTCAATTTGTTAGGTAACCAAAAATCAACAGAGAGTAAATGATATTCTAGTAAAAAAAACCTAGAATAATAATATAATTCTATACATACTGTTTATTCTTAAACTATTTTATAAATTAAAAGCAATCAATTACAGAACCTGTAGAATACTACAAGAAAAACGTATTTAATCTTTCCAACTCCTTCATGACTCGTGGGGGTGGATCACAAACCACAGTGCAACCCTAAATTAAAGGAAACTTCTGCTATCCTAATTCCTAGGTGTGACTGCAGATGAGGCATAAAAAAGATATATAAAAAGGGGAATGAAACACAAACTTTGTAGGCATGACAAAGTATCAAAAATTATATACAAAATAGAAGATGGGTATATACATGGCTTTAAAAATACTGATACAGGATTTTTGAAGTCTTAAAGTTTATAGAGGGGTGTTTAGCTTTGAGAGGAATAAGTGGCAAAACAATGCTATTTATACTGCATTACGCTCTTCTACATTACATGTATAATTTTCACAAAGATTTAGTTAATTCTTATTATCTAGAGCAGTTATAAATAAATTAAAAAATCTTTTAAATATGTTTGTTCTTTTTCTTTTACCGGTTTATATATTATATCCTCAGAGTCTGAATCTCAGACCTATTTATTAAAATTTGCAAGTTGAAGGCAAAAAAATTTAACTTGCATTAAATCATAATTTAAGTATCTTTAAACATTTATAAAAATAAAATCTCAAACTGTATTTTGGTGTTTTTCTTAACAGAATATAGAATTAACAAGTATGATGTTCACCATGGTTAATTGAATAACAGCAAGTTATGAATATGAAAGTTTTTTAATTCTTAGGTGATGCTTTCATGTGTTAAGAAATTTGTAAAACTGCTTGAACATCCAAAATTTCCTGATATTATCACATAATTTGTAAAAAGTGTGTGAAAATAATGGTAAAGATCAGACGTATTGTAGGCATTAAGCAATATATTTAAACTGAAAATAATGTGACAACATATAATAAGTCTTAGTAAATATTCACCAAGATTTAATAATAACTTCCTGGACTAAAACTACAAGGTGAATCAATACAACAGTTAAGCCAATAATTTGTAAGTAAAATAAAATTTGCTAATAAGTACAAGTAATCAGAAAAATACTATTGGTTGAATCTTTGAAACATCATAACAAAATGCATAATTATAATATTAAAAAAATATCAGAATTGCAAAATAATTCACAGGTAGTATAAAAACATCATTTCTATTCTATTAGTAGCTTAATAACAAGAAAACAGGAATATACAACTGGCTCCAAGATGTGCCATTAAATTAACTAATAAAAGTATATCTTTCATCCAAAAATGAAAATCATGAATTTTTCTCTAACATAAAACATTTTCCTGTAATTAGAAAAGCAATTAACAAGTTATTATCACAAATATGGTTCTTGGCAGGTGACAAATTACTGATGCCTTAAGGATCAAACATAAGGTATATTCAACTGACTTAATAGATATGTACGTTTTCTTGCAATTAAAAACATGCAAAAAGGTAGTCAAACAAGGACAGGTAGAAAATTAACTTGTAACCTCAAGTTATACTACCAATGATAATTAATAACATAATATATGTTAATTTGTAAAACATGATAATTTGTTTATTAAGTTTTTTATTATAATCAAAACATAATAACCTTTGTCTCAGTATCATCTTCAAACTGGGAGTACAAAAATTGCTGAAATGCCTCCATGGAAGGTTCTGTTAAGTTTCCACCAACTGCCCACATGTAACAGAAGACAAAAGTCTGTCTAAGGATTGTTCGAAAAGTTGATGATCTCTGGTCATAACTTAAAGCTTCTGGTTTTGTTAGAAGTGATTCCAACAAGGCACAAAGAGTGGTCACCATGCTGATTTCAACCTGAGGGAAAGGTAAATTACTGTTAACCCTGTAGAATAAACCACTAAGGTCCAAGTGGCCTTTTGGCTTTTCAAACACATTTGCCTACATTATTTATGTACCACATTGCTTGTGAGTCCATGAACCTGTTTGTTAAAGAGTCCAAGATAACATATGAGTCACAGAAAAAATATTAAACAAAAAATACCATCAATATTGCAATCAACTCTATTTATTATTGCTGGGGTTCCCTATGTATTTTATACAGAAATTTGAGTTATTTCATCCAGTTTTTTTGGTTAGCACTTTACCTTGAGTGTTGTAACAAGTAAAAATATAAAATTACTCATTATGATTATGATGTTATTAAAAGTTCAAGGATACAAATAGCACATAGTTACCTGATTTTTGATTGAAGAACCTAGTATGTAGAAGGAAAAGTGTAGTGATTTGGAATGGTACAAATGAAATACACAAGATTAGACATTGAAATTGAAGAAAAATTAAATACTGTAGATTACTAAAAAAAAAAGAACTGAAGATAAAAAGAAGATAATTTAGTGGTAAGACTATATTGAGGCCTGGCATGGCCGGGTGGTTAGGGCGCTCGACTCGTAATCTGAGGGTCACGGGTTCGAATCCCCGTCACACCAAACATGCCAACTTCCGCCTTTGCCTGGTCCCAAGTCCAGGATGAGAAAGGGGGAGGGTTGGTCAAGGGGCTAGCAACTCAACCCCATAAAAACCAACCTGCTACAAGTAACTGCAACAACACCTTCCGTTGGCGAGGTGTTGTTGCGGCCCTATGCTCCACTGGGAGTTTACAGGAATAATAATAATAATATAAAAAAAAAGACTATATTGGCTTGTAAATTGAAATTAAGTCAAATAAATTAATAACTGTGTTAACCTGGTAGAAACTATATTTAAATAAGAAGGGTGAATCAAAGAAAAACAAAACAGACATGATCAGCAGACTGCCAAATATAACAAACAAAGACAAGGCTTTCATGACGAAACCAAATCTTCTCTCTCTGAAGAAGGAAAGAAATCTGCTTGAAAACCACCAAAATTGCATTCATTATTCACAATCTTTCTCTAACTGACCAACTAGAAAAGGATCGCAAGATTCCAGAAGCATCTCTGTTCAATTAAAAGTCTCAAAGCAGTTCTCTGTGCAAAAGATAAACTAGGGTACAATATAACTATCCTATGTAAAGATTAGAAAGTAACACCTTAAGCACATGCACTCAACTGGATTTAATATGTTCCAAATTAGAGGTTAAATAAACTTAGAATATTTCGTAGATATGAAGTATATACCATGGAATAAGGAAACATGTAGTATTTGTATATTACAATACATTAATCCCACCAGTAATGATAAGTACAAAAACAAATTGATAATTTGAGGATTAAAATGACAGTGTCTGCTACGTAGAAATAAAGTAATTGTACTTTATTTAAAATAAAACTAGTGCACACTTAAAAATGTTAAAAACAAAACAAAATTTATCACTTAAAAGTTTCACATGCATAGGTTCCAATATTTTGGCATGTTTTCTTAGGTATATTACTTAATTTTTTCCAGTGAAAACAAAGTGTTCAATTATGTATATATCTAATTAGTAAGGTATATATTAAGAAAAGTATTCTCTTTAAATCCATCATTTGTGTGTTTGGTTTGCAGCATAGGTCCTTCTGATTATATCTGACAGTTTAGAATAACATAACTGATAGAATTTTGTTACATATGAATGTTATACATGTAAGCCATTTATCAATAAACATAAGTTTCTATGGTATTAGTTTGCAATGTCAAAATATTTCTGCATAAAAGAAGACTTTTTTGCATCGATTTTTTTATCTGAATAACCATGGTATATTAATTCAAAATAACCTTAATCCAAATGGATATAATTAGTTTTCTACAGTTCATACTTAGGTGAAAAGAAAATACCTGTGGCATTGCTTGAACACAATTCTTCTGAACAAATGTAAGCCCATCATCTACATACTTATCAAATAGATTTAGGAGTTGATCCTTCACTTCATTATTTATTTCAGGTGGTAATCTAGAAGCCCAACTTTTAACAGAGGGTCGCCAGCCTAGGTCCTTTGGATCAACGTACACCATGCCACAGCTGTATGTGTAAAAACAATGATATATATATATATTACGTGTATTATTCAAGAATAAAATTATAGCTTCTTAAAGTAAAACATATTATAAGTAATGAATCTGTGATAATAAAGATAACTTTGAATAATAAAACACATTGTAAGTACTGGTAAACAAGCTTGTAAAGTGTAGACCATGTTGTAGCCTCAGTTTACTAGTGCATCATTACCCATCTTAGCTTTGCCTTCCACACTCTCTAAAAATATATAATTGGCTGTGCAATGTCCCCATGTAAAATTCTTCCTGAGTGAACCATAAATATTTCCTTTATGTTTGTGTAAAAAGAGGATATATATATATATTTCTACAAGAAATATAGACACTAGGGACATAAATATTTGTAAATGTTCAATTTTATTTTATTGAGGTTTTGAGTTAGGTGAGATAATTATATTAACTTCTTATCGTCTTTCAATATTTGTTTTATTAAATGGTTTAATTTACCATTTTAAGGATGTCTGTGATTTGTTTTCAACCAACACATTTTAAGTCAGAGTAAAAATATTTTTGAAAAAGAGGTAAATGTCTGTAGCAAAAACCATTTTTTTGAGTGTTTGTAATCTCTCCAAAAATAAAAAAGAATGTAGATAACTTACAGGCTGCTTGGAAAACATTGAACATGAACAAAGTTTTAGCACTCCTGCATTTACTTTCAACGTGTCAAGTGTGTATTTTGTGTTGAATCTAATAAAGACAAATGCAAGGGTGCCAAAACGTTATCCACTTTCAACGTTTTTCAGGCAGTCTGCCTATTTGGAAACCATCATCATGGATTAGCAACTGCCCATGAGATGTTCAGACATGCTTTACATGTAAATATTCTGGTTTCAAACCCTGTTTGAACATTGTTGGACATATAAAACTGTTTAGTGTAAGAGTAATTACTTATTTCATTTACTGATTTAATATTTAATGATTATTTAGTTTTCACAACAAGAGTGTTAAAATCTAATTATTTTAAAAGTGATAGTTATGATAATTTTCGTTACATAATTTGGTAAAAGTCGTACATTGTGTGTGTGTGTAGTTCAATTGTTGTTAATTGACGTCGCCTTACTCCAACCTTCTGTATTTTTCTTGATGCCTTAAGTGAGTATTGTTACATCACAGTGTTTCGTGGTTTGTAAAACTAGTGCACATTTAAATATGTCAACAAAAAAAAAATTATCACTTGAAAGTTTCACATGCATATATATATATATAGGTGACCAAGTGAAAGCAAGTCAAGTTAAGATAAGAAAAAAATTAGTTAATTAAAGAAAATATGAAGTTAGCCAGCATGTGAGTGATTAGCCTTAACGGATTATTTCTATAGTGTGTTTCACTGCTGTATTGTAACAACGACGGGGCCCGGCAGTGGCCAGGTGGTTAAGGCACTCGCCTCGCAATCTGGAGGGTCGCGGGT